ATAAAAAGAACTCATTACAGAGGGAAGCTACAAAATCAAAACATAGGGATCGAAGGCCTAAATCTAGGTGGCAATGTCATCCTACTGAGGCTTAACTTGGCTATTGACCTCTTCCACAGAATCTTCAGCCTCGTCTGCAGGAGTAGGGGGCTCTACTAGAAAGAATTCCTCTTTCACAAAAGTCAAATCAACTTGGGGTTACAACTCGACAAGCCTTCCAAAAACTTCATTGTATGCAACCTTCTTCCAGTATAAATCGAGGCCATCACACTTAGCCTTTTTGTGGAAATGAGTAATATAATTGATTACAGCTGTCTTCCTTGCCCCACTCTGCTGCTGCCTTATAAGTTGTTAACCTCAGCAGTCAACTCATCAGTTTGGGCCTGTAATTTTCCTTTCTCTTTATTGGCATCCTCTAAGGCTGACGAAATAATTCGCTGCAAGTTGTCAGAGTTTTTGACCCTCTTCATCAAATTATTTACTTTAGCTTTGTAGAGGTGGACTTTTTTCTTCGGTTCACTACTTACTTTCAAAAATGCCTCTACCCTAGACTTTGCTTCAGCCTACTTAACCTTGAAGGCTTCAATGGCCTTACTGGCAGAAGACGCCTCAGCCTTTACCTTACTTAACTCTGCCTCGACATCGGAGGCCTATTGAAGATATTCTTTATAGAGCTACTGCAGCCTCTTCATTTCCATTTGGGCATTTAAGAAGAAGCCTTCCGAGTGAGCTTGCAGTGCGAGGCCTACCTTCAGCAAATCAATCGAGTCGCAGGTCTCGGTGTAATAAAAGTACTTATTGAACTCTTGCCTTCACCTGGACCTAGGCGGGAAGCATTCCAACATAGCAAAGGCGATCTCGTTAGACCTACCCTGAAGAAAATTCTAGGCCTTCTCTTTAGAAGGAGCACTTCTACTAATCTCCTTCATTCCCTCATTTTCATGTGGCCCTCCTCCTCCTCAACAACCTCCTCCACGTCAGTCACTTTTATAGAGGAGATTGGTTCTACTTCAATAGGTCATTTTAGCGACTCACGAATGGTTGTTTAACGCTTGGAGGAGGAAGAGGTTAGGTTTTCTTTGTCAAAACTAATCTCCTCTTCTTGTTCCTCTTCGCAAAAGGCTCGACACGTTTTCCCCATTTTTATCTTCTTCTTTGGGAGATAGGATGACTTCATCTTGGACGGATGAGACAGCCAGTGCTTAACGATTTCTTCTTCTTTACCTTCCCCAGACGCCTCATGAAGAACATATCAGGCTTCACCTACTCCTTCTTCTCATGTTGTTCTACAAGGAAAATAGTTGAACCGTTATGCCACTATAAAAAAACCCAAGTAAAATTTCCAAAAGATATAGTGAGGCATTGGCTTATCCTTGGTCATCGTTAATATACGTGTTACAAATAAGGCTCGCTTGCCAAGCATGTTCTTGAAGTACCTCTTCTCAGAAGGTAGCTCATAAATGGATCTAGCGAAAGTTCACTCAAAAGGTTTAGGCTTGAACCGGTCAACTGCAACTACAAAACACCTAATTTAGCAATGCAAATAACAACAGAGCAATACATAAGAGATCTTAACTAAAGTTGGAATCACTATATTATTGATATTGGGTCGACACAGTTATTTTTGGGACCACATCCCCCCCACTATCTGCCAACGACTCTTAATCCAGAACCAAGATGACTTCTAATTTTTTATCGACGTCAAAGTACCCCAAATGAAGGATGAATGTAGAGCCCAGGGGTTTATACAGTACCATCCCTTGTAATCCTCTCCCCCACTAGAGGGTCGGGGTTGAAAAAAGGTTTGAAAAATGTGGAGGATATATCTTTACTAAGAATGAACTCCTTCCGAATAAGGAAGGCTCCTACCAATTGGTTCCATGCATTCGGCACTAGCTGGATTGGAGCTAAATAGTACTGCCTAAGTATATATCTAAAGAATGAGTTAAATTTAATTGAAACTCCTGAAGAGCTCAACAAAACTGCAGATTATTTGAGAAATGAATTTGAGATGAAAGATTTGGGGAAAACCAAATTTTTGTCTTGGATTACAAATTGAACATTTTCCAGAGGGATTATTTGTTCATCAATCTACTTATACAGAAAAAGTCTTGAAACGCTTTTATATGGATAATGCACATCCATTGCCATCACCTATGGTTGTTCGATCACTTGATGTGAAAAAAGATCCATTTCGTCCACCTGAAGATGGAGAAAAGATTTTTGGTCCTGAAGTACCATACCTTAGTGCAATTGGAGCATTAACTTATCTTGCAAATTGCATTCGACCTGACATAACTTTTTCTGTAAATCTCCTTGCAAGATATAGCTCTACACCAACTCAAAGGTATTGGAATGGTGTTGAACATATTTTTCGTTACCTAAAAGGTACTATTGATATAAGACTGTTTTATTCTCAAAAGTCAGGATCTGTTTTAGTGGGATATGCAGATGCAGGTTATCTCTCCGATCCACATAAAGCTAAATCACAAACAAAATATGTGTTTACACGTGGAAGAACAGCTATATCATGGAGATCTGTGAAGCAATCCTGGACAGCAACATCCTCAAATCATTCTGAGATTATTGCAATCCATAAAGCAGGGCGAGAATGTGTATGGTTGAGGAATATGACCCATCATATCCAATCATCATGTGCATTGACTTCAACAAAAGATAACAATAGATAGTCCAACAATTTTGTTTGAAGATAATGCAACTTGTATCGCACAACTCAAGGGAAGCTATATCAAAGGCGACAGGACGAAGTATATTTCTCCAAAATTCTTTCATACACATAAACTTCATAAGAATGGTGACATTGATATTCAACAAATTCGCTCAAGTGACAATGTGGTTGATCTATTCACAAAAGCGCTGCCAACATCTACATTCAAGAAATTAGTTCATGAGATTGGAATGCGTCGACTCAAAGATTTTCAGTGATCAACATCAGGGGAGTAGCTGTACTCTTTTTCCTTCGCTTAGGTTTTGTCCCATTGGGTTTTCCTAGCAAGGTTTTAATGAGGTAACATTTAATTTTAATACTCCAAAATAACTGTACTCTTTTTCCTTCGTTTGATTTTTCTTCCCATTGGGTTTTTATCAAAGAAGGTTTTAACGAGACAGATATTTTATAATATGTTATTCAAGGGGGAGTGTTATAAATGGAAAGTCCATTAAAGTTAATTGGTGAATGACATTTGTACCCCTGTAGCCCTAAAAATTATTACCCTGATTCTTACCTATAAATATAGGGTTTTGATTTTCAATAATATACACAAAATTTTATTAAGTTTTCTCTATTCTCTTTTCCTCTTATTTTATAACATATATATATATTTTCATGTAACTTTGTGCACATGAGTTGGCATTCTAGTGAACCAATGCCACCTATTGCTTGTAATAAGTAAAAGTAGTTCGTTGTGGATTTACACTCGACATCTAGATTATCCCGGGCCAGCTGACATGTGCAGAGGGCTGGGCTACAACATATAATACTAGGATGCAATTTTTAATGTTACAAGTAGAAAAAGATATAGCTATATCAGAGATAATTGACTTGGATAAATCATGACTTGTGAAAGATGTAATGATAACGCTACTACTATTATTATTGTCCTAATTGCATTTGAGCTTATAATTTCAATGCAAATTATTGTTGTGATGATGGCTAACATTTATAATTTTGGAATCAATACCTAAAAGATCCATTTTCGAGTTATGATGTGGCTAGCCTTAATTAAAGTACACGAACTTTATCATTTGTTTCAAATTCATATATAAATTTTATTGTCATGCATAACCTCAAAAAGTTGATTTTTATCGAATACAAAATGAATATTCATCAATCAAATATGGCAGACCAATTCATGTGGCAAATAACACACTTACGAGACATTTAATTTAATTTTGAATAGAATTTGTTGTCTATAGAATTAATTATTGAATTATAAAAAAGTTGATGTTATATGTAATTGGGATGAATATAGTGATTTTAAAAAAAATTGAAATTGTATTAGGAATGTATTTAGAGAGGGATGGATATATAAAATTTGTGTGGATATATAGTGATAAATAAATGAATTTAATAAAGATAATATTGAAATGTGACGTGAATGACTATATATATATATATATATCCCTTGTTTGATATGCTTTATTTTATCACAAATCAATGTTTTCTACGCAGGCGTGGCCCAAGATGTCACGGCGTGTAACTTCAAAACAATTTAATGATCATACCCCAATTTAATTGAACATTGGATTTCTTGTGTCGAGGTTGGCGTGGGGTGGAGTGGTGCGCCCTGCGCACGTGAGTACATTATAACCCCCTGGTCCGTTTTGGATCAGAAGGCACAAGTTCTCTCTTTCCCGCCTCATTTTTCATTTCTCTCCTTCACAAATTTACCATCATCTCACCTCCAACCAGAGATATATCTACAATTTCCATCTACTCACACCTATTTTACAAACAGTATCGCATTCTGGAACGTTGTTTCGACATTTTGATCAGAATCTCAGAATCTGGAGCGGGTCCAATCGGTGCTACTTGGCTCGTTTTTGTAAGGAAACCCTTCCGAAATCCTCATGGTTTCTCATTGAATGTATCAGCATAATTCATCATCTCATTTCATACTTTTTGTTTAATTTATTTTTGACCACTTGTTCTGTTAGTTATTCTTATTCCTACTCACACCTATTTTACAAACAGTATCGCATTCTGGAACGTTGTTTCGACATTTTGATCAGAATCTCAGAATCTGGAGCGGGTCCAATCGGTGCTACTTGGCTCGTTTTTGTAAGGAAACCCTTCCGAAATCCTCATGGTTTCTCATTGAATGTATCAGCATAATTCATCATCTCATTTCATACTTTTTGTTTAATTTATTTTTGACCACTTGTTCTGTTAGTTATTCTTATTCTTATTCTTATTATTATTATTATTATTATTATTATTATTATTATTATTATTATTATTATTATTATTATTATTATTATTATTATATCTCGAAGCTCCTTTTCAAGAGCTTTGAAATTTTACATCGGGAGAAGTTCCAGATCTGCTCTGGATGAGAACTTGAGCCATAAAATTACTGATTCAAAACTTCAGAAGTTGATTTTGTGAATCTTCTCGGAAATATACTAGTTGCAAGCATGTAATCGTGTAACTGCTTCACTCCAGCATCACCTACTATTGATTTGCAGTAATATACTGGTTAATATACATAGAGGCATGAAGTATTAAGTAAATTCTGCTGACTTTGTTGGTTCTAGGTGACTTCTATTTACTATCATCTCTGTTTCTCCTAATATTAACGAGCCGTTATTTGGATCATTTTTATATTCCAGTCAATTGTTTAATTAGATCCTGCACATTACACTAAAGCCGTGACAATGGATATTGATAGACAGTCAAATTTTCGAGAGGTTAGTAGATCATTCTTACTCTTAATCCTCATTTAAGATGCTTTCATTTTCATTGCATGTAATTCATGCTTCTTTTGGTAATTTAGTTGGCATTTGAATTTATTGATGGATCAACTTAGTTTTCTTTTAATAATTTCAATTCGAAAAAATGCATTGTCTTTTTGGTGGTTGTGTTTTAAAAGTTCATGTTTGCTGTCACCAGTTAATGTGATAGTTTATGAAAGCTCAATATTAAACTGAGTTTCGACTGTTTAAATTTCAGGATGGAATGATGGAGTGCCAGAGTTTTGGCAGCAATTACCATCCCTCCAGTCAATCCAGGAAGGTCTCTATAGGAGTTCTTATTGATTCCGTTGCAAACTCAAAGGAGGCAGAAAAATTAACTTCTGCGAAAGAGAATTGTATTGAAGATGGCATAAAGAGCGAAGGATTTACTCCAATTGTGGAAAAACATGTGCTGGCTTCTGAGCAGGATATATCCTCTTGGGTTTCTGTTAGATCCTTCAACCAAAAAATACCTACTTCAGTGACAGTTAAAGATGCAGAACATACTCCGAGTTTCCCATCCGCTAGCAAAAGGTGCAATAAATCAAAGGTTTCAAAGAAATTATCACCAGTACATTCGGTTCAGGTTTTTGGCAGTATGACTACTGCAATAGAATCTGATGAATTCAACAAGAAGAAATTTGGTAAAGCTACCTACACAAGGAAGTCTGGGGAGATGGGTAATGCAGAGCATGTGAATAACCCTGCATTTGTGACTGAACCAGAAGTTCTGCCAGATAAAGGATTGGCAGAGGGTAAAACTAACAAATCAGAAATGGGGGGCACCGAAGTTTTGAGAATGAAACTTTGGGAGATCTTAGGAAATGTTTCTTCACCAAACAAGAAGTGCCCTAGCTCCCTGCCTGTCAATATAGGCACAAAAGATTCACATCCAAATCATGAGAGCAATAAAAAGGGTAGTCCAGTTGGAAAGCTAAGACAAAATTCAGACACAATTGAAAGTGATTCTGAAAGGCCTGATCATGCTGTCAGGAGAGCATTGACTCATTCTTTGACTTGCAAGAAAGCTCCCACTAAAATGCAATCAAGTAAAACTGGAACTTCAATACTCACATCCTACGGCAAAGAATATGCAGAGAAGAGTGTATTCTCTTTCAGTGGAGAATGGTCTGGGAAACTATATGATACTGCCAATGGTCATTCTTTGCCCTGTAAGAGGAAGAAGAATGAGAGGGAGAGTTTTGGAGTTGGTACCAATCAGATGTATTTTCATGAATGCGAAAACTCAGAGGAGAGACAGCAATCAGAAAATAAGCGAAAATCAATACCAGTTGCTCAGAAATCAACATCTGCAGGAAATAATATCTCGACCAATAACATTTCCCAGGATGAGAGAAACGGTGTATATCTTAAGCCAATAAGTGGTAATAAGAAAAAATTTACAGATGAATCTCCACTAAACATAACAACTGAGCAGTTTAGGGATGTTGTTGGAAGTCCAAAGATGAAGGAACAAGACATTGCTTTTTCAATGCTGAAGAACAGAATGGATCCTACTCTTGATCCTCAGAGCCCCACTTTTGAGATCATGTCACCTATTCTAAGTTCTTCTCTAGGCTCTCCAGCAAAAAGCAATCAGGGGAAACATCATGATCAGAGTCCCTCTGAGAGAATATATTGTACAAGGGACTTCCAAAGCTTCAAGAGTTTGTTGCATTCAAAGTCAACTCAGTACAAATCAAACGCACTGCCAGAGTTATCTGTATCCTTATCATTTCGGCCACAACAATAATAACTAAGCCACAATCATATTCTACATATTTCATGTTACATGGCTCAATAACTTTTCTTTTCCTTAATTGGAAATAAAGGATGGTTCTGGAGAAATAAAAGATTCTCCAATTATGAAATCAAGGTTGAGCTTGGAAGAAGATGTAGAAAATAGGATGTCTAATTCATCTTCTGATGAGATGGATTCTGAGAGCTCTGAAGAAAATTTAAATATTAAAGGTTACAGCAATGCTTCGACTAGTATTAACATGAGCATACATATATTCATGCACTATTCTTTTGCTGGACTATGTCAGTAAGGAGAACTCATATGGATTTAATTCCCGAGCAAATAGTATATAGTATGCTCATGCTTAGCGCATACCATGTTCAAGGAACCTGTTTGGATAGGAAAACTGATACGGATTCAAGTCCCTTGAAAATAATGTGCTTGTTTGGTTTCATTACAATGAGATTATAATGAAGAGGAGTAATGGGTTCCACGGAACGTGTGAATAATAAGTGTGTAGTAGTTGTGACTGTGTGGATGAAATTAATATTTGACTCGTTTTCAAATTATAAGGAGATTAAAATGAAACCCAAAGAACCGTAATATATAGTATGGTTGTGCTCAACACGTACCATGTTGGAACATGACACTTGGATTATTCTCATCATTGCAAGATATTTTGTTTGTTTTGTTGTGATCATGTTTTAATCATTTGAGTTCAAACTAAGACTTGTGGATAGATATACATCTATAAGGTATATTAGATTGAATTTTTCTTATCATTAAGCATGTGTAATGCTTAGATTGATGTATTACTCTCCTTACACATTCTTTAATGTGCATGCAATACTCGTAGTATGACTACAACAATAAAATTCTGACATCACTAAATCCTGATGCCTCTTGTGGGCAAATTCTGTGAAAATATAAGCATGTGCTACAGATGTCCCATTTGCATAATTAAGAGGATCCTAGATCTGTTGGATATGTTAAATTGTATCTTTCGGAAAAAAATGTTTGTGAGAAAAGGAGTTCTCAAAGCTCTGCTAACTGAATGATGGTACACATAATTACTCAATGTAGGTAGTCCTGGAGGAAGCTCATGAAGTTGCGTATGGATATAGGTTCCAGTGACAATATATAGTGTTTCTTTACTTCTCTGATTTACGGTTGGTATGGTCATGGACAGTAGTTTTATGAAATATCCTTGGCACAAAAATACTGTTTTCATTTTTTAGGTAAAAGCTAACATCTTCACGGTGGTCAGGTTTTACCTTTTAAATAAAACTTATTTGCTCGATAAGGGCATATGATAACTGATGATTTGTCTGTGATGTGGGTGGGTGGAATAACCAAGATCGCTTAGCTGCAATGGCATAGAGATAGATGATCCTCTTCTGAGTAAATACCACACTAATATTTTATGGATATGCAGGTTGCAGGGAATCGGAGCTATTATCCCCTGAAATTGGTAGTGCTAATAGACAAGAGTTTGTAAGTCTTCAGAGTGAATGGCTGGGCCACCAAGAAGGTGTTGAATTGTCCGGATTTATTCCTGCTTCCGAGTCATTTAAAGGTTTACCGATGCTAAGATCAAATAACCTTCTCCTTCTTCCTGTATTGGTCTTTTGACATGCTATCTAGAAATTGATCTCTGTCAAGTTTATGTAGTTTTTACTTTTTTCATCTGCACAAATGAATAGGAATTGAAAAAAGTAGCAAGCTTCAGGCATACTTTGAACACAATCAAGAGGACAGGTTCGTTAGGTATTTTTTTCTCCCTTGAATTGTAATGTTAATAATTTAAGAGAACATGGGACATTGCTAACTAATTTATTTTTGAATTTGATTTCCTTTGTCAAAATTTCAGTGCTATAGCTCTAATTGCTATGGCTTTAGATCGTGTTAAAACCAAAATGAAGTCTGCAACTAGCAAAAAAGCTGCTAAAATTCTGAGGTCAGCAGCTGAGGCAATACACTTGCAATTGCAGAGTGCTGAATCTCAGATCAAAACAGATCTGTAAGTGTCATTTATTTATAGGTTTACAAGTTCAAAGGTTTTATTTCTTAAGCTGAGTCTTATATGTTTCAGGGGAAAGCTGACCTGTCTTAGTGAATCGAGAAGGACAAGTGTAGAAAATAGATTTGAAGGTAATATTTCTAACAGGATAATAACTTGGTTGAGTCAATGTTCTGCATTTATTTTTTTACCTGGTTAATCAATTGTAGTGCTGCTCTCATTGCCATGAATATAAAGAGTGAAAGTCATCCCTGAAGCTCAACGGTCTTGGCCATGGCAAATTTAATAAACTCACCATAACACAGTCATGATCAGGCTCAAAATTTGGTCTATTGACAGTTTTATTGTTTCTACTTTTCTTTATCTTTTTTAACTGGAAATAAAATAGTTGTAAGCAATTAGGTTTGATCACTCACAGCATTTGCATTAAGATAAATTTTAAGCCCCTGTTTGACAACTGTTATTTAAAAACTATTTTTTCCACATTCTCATTTTCAACCATTCATACAATAAAATATTTTACGCGTAAACCCAAAAATTTTTCCTATTTTTTAACCACACATTCTCCTAAAAATCACTATTCAAAACTTTATTTTTCCCAAATAATGATTGTCAAACAGGGGCTAAGTCATTAAAAGAGACAGGAACTTGTATTTTTTTTTCTTACAACTGTTCCATTAACATCTTAGAATTTTTTACTGTGGAAGATATACCGTTAGGACTGCTTTGGCTGAATAAGGGCTTGTTTGGGAGGGATTTTTAACCCAAAAAAATTGATTTTTTGACCGTTATTTTACTATTTCAGCCGTAATTTTTGACTTTTTCTCTCATAAATGGACCCCACTTTTCTTCTAACGGTAAAAAAATCAATTCTCAAAATCCCTTCCAAACGGAGCCTAAGCTTTACACAACTCGAACTTGGCTGGCATGGGCCAGCTCTGAACATCTGTGGTGTCTGAGCCTGGTCCAGCCCATTGACAGCCATATTTGTCTGCTGGCTGATTGCTTGCGTACTGATGTGTCCATTGTGAAATACTGCTTTCTTCCACCCCTAGTCTATCCTTCCTCAAAAAAGAAAAATACTTCTTGGTTGGGAAGAGTAATGTAAAAATTTAATAATGTCAAAATTGATATTATGGAGTTCTTTTGAGTCAAAGTGAAACTGTCAGGAAAAACAGTGACGGCATTCAGCTTTTCATGATATTTGGATACAAATACATCAGCAAGAAGAGGATTCAATTATCATCATAAGAATAAAATTATGAAGTGCTCTGGTATGGAAGTTTGTAATTCACCATCTTCTAGATCATATTCTAATGATGATAACAATGATAGACCACCGCATGAAGAAACGGGTGCTTCAGTCACTTGCTTGTCGCCTCTTCCCTTAAGTTCTGGCCTGGAGGATTAACTACTTAATAAATTGGAACAATACCTGCAGTGTGCTATTCAAGAATTGCAATAATTAATAAATGCATTTGCATGATATGCTCTCAATATTTATTCATGTGGATCGATGACTGTTCCATACTGAATTGCCTGAGGTCCACAGTGTGCTATTCAAGGTATAAATAATTTCTAGATGCATTAGGACGCCAATGATGAGATATACTCTTAATATTCATTCATGCAGATCCATGACTGTTTGATGCTTAATTACCCTAGAATGCCTTTCTATTCTTGAATTATAATTGAGGGAATTGGGGATGCAGAACAACAGGAACAGCTGCACGACATATATAAAAGATTCAAAGAAGAGATCGATCAGCACCTTGTGGATTACAAAAGCTTAATTGAAGATCTAGAAGAACACAAGATTGAGCTTAAAGGAACCATGAACAAACAAAGTATGAAGTTCTAGTTTTATAACCTTTTCAACTTTCCATCATGTTTGCTTTCAATAAAATTCCTCGCACATATGTGAGTTGCAAGGAAATGTGAAAATCTTCAATTATTATCCCCATTTTTCCTTCTATCCTATTGTTCTGTAACTGTTGATAATTTACTACTATATGTTTGTTTTTACTTTATTTTCATAGTAACATTAAATGGAAATCTAGAGCAGTCATTGAATTGCTTTGGTACATATCACTCAGTTTATTTTCATAATGGTTTTCTGCAGCTTTAAGCATATTAAGAGGGTGTTTGGGAACCATTTTTATGTAAAAATGCATTTTGGAATAGTAAATTGATGGAAAATGTATGGTTGAAAAATAAGGAAAAGTTTTTGATTTATGTGTAATATTATTTTAACGAAGAATGTGTGAAAGAAAAGAAGAGAGAGAAAAATGCATTATGAAAAAAATGGGTACCAAACGGGGCTTAAGTATTTCCTTCCACAAAATATGCAACACATAAAGTAGAATAAGAATGGTCTGTCACGTATCAGATAAAAATATTATGTTGTTTAAAATAGCAGACATTGCATTTGAAGCAAATCTCAAACATTACAGTTCTTCTCTTCAGCTTTCTGTCCTCTAAATTTATTTATTTATTTATTTATTTTTTTTTTTTTTGGGTATACTTCAATAGATTACTCTTAATGTCCAAACTTTGATCGAGATATTTTTGTTTGTTCTTGCCTTAGTAAAATTGAATGAACACGTCAAAGAGGCTACAAATATACCTGGAAAGAATAAACTTTTAAATGGTGCCTTTTCTGTTTGAAACATTAGCATTAAGGCAAACTGGCAAGTATCAGAAAAGATTATGAGACAACCATTGTAATGGTTAGAGCACTTTCATCTCTTCAGTGATAGTTTGCGTTCATTTGTCTTGGACTCGATGCCATTCATCATAAGCAGGTTCATTGCTGACTACTGACAAATTCTGACATGCATATAATTTGTTTTTGAAATTCCCAGGAACAGTTCATAATAGGATTCTCTTTCAAGAGCAACAAGCAATTGATATTCAATTCAAGGATGCCCAAAAAAGAATCACAGCTGTCCACAATGTTAGTTTCTTACATTAAAAATTTGGAATAGGTGTCAGTGTCACATTCCATGTGGATTGCACAGTTTGCCTGTAATTAGGCTATGTTCCTCAAATCTTGATAATTACACTTAGATAATTAGTCAAACACTTTTATTTTGTTTTTAGTTCTCTATTCACTTTTATTTTGTTTTTAGTTCTCTATTCATTTGTACTTTGTCAAGAAGCAACAAGCAATTGATATTCAATTCAAGGATGCCCAAAAAAGAATCACAGCTGTCCACAATGTTAGTTTCTTACATTAAAAATTTGGAATAGGTGTCAGTGTCACATTCCATGTGGATTGCACAGTTTGCCTGTAATTAGGCTATGTTCCTCAAATCTTGATAATTACACTTAGATAATTAGTCAAACACTTTTATTTTGTTTTTAGTTCTCTATTCACTTTTATTTTGTTTTTAGTTCTCTATTCATTTGTACTTTGTCAAGAGTCTGAACCTTGCTAAAATAAGAAACCGTCTCTTTTACCTCTAATCACCAGTGAAAGAAAGAGAACATGATACAATAGTTTCTAAGACTTTCTCTTAGTTGAGATATCATTTCCTTATTAATATTCAAGTCCTATTGCCTTATCAGTACATCTGATTATGAACATATTCTTCTTCAATTAGGGTCAATAGCTTCTGAATAATAGGTTTGATATGTCAAGAAAGAAACTATAACAATTTGAGTTCCAGTTGTCTGTCTTTCAAACAATTGATTTTATTTTTATTTTTATTTTTATTTTTATTTTATTTATTTTTATTTTTTTTCATTTGTTGTTTAAGAGACTTGGATGTATAACAAGTGAGGTTGTTTTGTTATTATTGCAGCGGGCTAAAGAGAAGATGCTTCAGTTGAAACTTGTGATTGAAGAATGTATAAAAGAGGGCGCCTTCAGTTAATATTGCTTTTAATGTTGATGGGTAATATGGAGCTGTTGTCTAAAGTTGGATAAAGATTCCAGAAATTTCTCATGGATGCTAAGAGCCAGGTTATTTTAGTGTAAGTCCTTATTTTATGCCTAAATTGCGACCATGAAATCATTTTCCACGAGTGATTGCTCGCACATTGTAAAGAATATTCACCTCTACCAGCTAAGATCTTGCAGTAATTTTGGCTCTTCAGTAGCTTAATTAGGTTCTCTATAGATGTTCAGGTCATAAATATGCAAAGTAGTGCAATGAGCAGTAAAAATTGTGGAACCTGATTTGTTAGCCTTTGGAGCTTTATTGACTTAACACACCTCACATGAACTATTGCATGGGTGATGAGATGTTGCATTTAAACTAGAAGTGCAAGTTTCAATTTTAGGATGATAATGAACTTCACTGATGTATGGTAGCATGACTATTTTAGCCCGGGGAGAATTGGAAATGATACCATTTGAAACTTAGTAGTATGCATTTGATTGTCTCACAGAAAATGTTTATGATATGAATCTCTGCATACTTGCAACTCAAGCAAAATTGAATCTCTTTAAAATTAGAAATATCAGAGAACGTTTATTTTGGAGTATTAATGATGTCTGATGCAGGATTCCAATTCTAAGGACGGTTAATACTCTCAATTGCTTTGTATTTAGAGGTTATTTGAATTATGTAATTTAAACAATTGTTCCACCTTAGAGAGCGATGCCTTGTGATGCCCATAAAAGAATTCTGAATGATACTATACTGCTGTGCTGCCTCTAAGCAACTCACTTAGGAGTGGACAACATGAGCAAATCAAATCAGATCAAACTAGAACCGAACTAAATCGATTCTACAAAAAAAAATATTAGCACTCGTTTGATGGCCATTATTGAGGAAAAATGATGTTTTGAATAATAATTTTTTGGAGAATGCGTGGTTAAAAAGTAGCGAAAAAGGTTTTGGGTTTAAATGCAATATATTTTATTGTGTGAATATATAGTTGAAAATGAGTATGAGAATTAAATAGTTTTATTTTAAAGGGAGATAAAAATGAATATACATTTGTAAATTATTGTTATTAAACAATATTTTCTTTGAGGATGGAATTAGATGTTTATGTATTCAAATTATGACTATATTTGTTGTTTAGACTTTTGTGAATGAAGTTTATTAAACAATATTTCATTTGATGTTTGATAATTTGAAGTTGAATTTTCTTAATGTTTGATTTTTATTTTTTTTATTCAGGAATACATTACTAACTTATGAGTATAGTGATAGATTTTAATGTGCATTTATCATTTGGAAATTTAAGTAATGGAATCAGAACCAAATCAAACCAAACCTAGTCAGAATCGAATGGTTCGGTTTCGATTTGGTTCTAATTCTTAATAAATAAATAAAAATCCATTGGTTTCAGTATCAAAAGACCATTGGTCTCATTATCCCAAAATAAAATAAAAAAAACATTGATTCATAGTTCGATTCGATTATCTTGGAATCAGAACCAAATAGAACTATGTTCATTACTAAACTCACATTTTACAACTAAAGTCACCTTGGACGAAATTAATAATAAAAAATTGAAACAAGATAAGAGAAAATGGCATTATCCTTGTTATGTTATAACAAAAAATGTAAAATTTTTAAAGTTTGATCTTTCAACCAAGAAGTTAATTACGAGTATGAGTTCATATGTTTGAAAAACAGGTGCAGTGCCATCTTATGCTTTTCATTTTAAAGTACGAGTAAACGGGATGAAGGTTTTCAAGCGTGAACAAACTCCAGATATTGAAATTTAAGATTCGAACAAGCATTAAGATTTGTGCCCTTGAACCTAGTAGTAAATAGATCAACTCGAACCCACAGAACAGTAGAACTTACAGCTATATAAGTATAGACCAGGTGATTACTCTCGTTCGTATTCATGTGGAAAAATAAAAAAAGTCCATTCTTGAAGGAATTTAATTGAAACACAACGGTAGGCACATGACAGCTTTATAAAGAGATGACCCAAAGAATCGTATTCATGTGAAAAATAATAAAATAATAAAATAAAATTCATGCTACATATTCATTTTTTTTCACATCAAGTTTGATACACTTATGAGTTGATAACTTTTTCCACATTAATTATAACAATACTTTAAACAATCAATGACACAAATTTTGACACATAGGAGAATGTTAAGGAAGCTCAACCACAAGGGTACAACTAGTTTAATGAGAGAGAGAGAGAGAGAGAGAGAGAGAGAAGAGTCCTGCTAGCATGGCCCGCAAATTCATAAGAACGCTGTTGGAAATTAGAAGTGACGACCATTTAAAAGCGTAAAGTGATATAACTCCAAGCCGTTGTTAACCATCCTTGCCGAAGTGTGTCTCCTCGTCTTGCCTAGCACCAGCATAGTCAGTTGCAAAAAAATAGCAAATAAATGGGAACGACGCTCGACAATGAGTCACATATGCTGATTTCTTCAACATTCTTATACGCTTAATGCCACTCCATCTAACCTCGATTATTCATTTTACAATAAATTATACTAGAACAAGCATCAGGCGGCTAGCCACATGCTTCATAAGAAAGTAGCAAAATAATGCAATTATAAGAGCAGTACGTTCAAGTTAACTTCAGAAATGAACATATTTTTTTATCGATGAATGTAAATTTCTATTGATCAAAAATCATATACAAATACACCGGATATACCCGGACAAATCAAAGATCTAAAGACATACAAACGACAAGGATTTATTGACCCAACACTAGATACTCAAAATAAACCAAAATAATATGATACAAAGAGAACTTGATTTTGTATACATGTGTTTTAATCCGTCTCATTATGCTATCAATATATGGTTTAAAATCTTTAAAACTCATTCTATTTCGTGCCATCAAAATTTGGTAGATAGTGCAAGCAAGTTCGATTTTCTTGGCTCTGGATTGCCAAGATGTACCTCGGGCTTCTTTCTTCATCCACTTCAATGTGCTAAGTATTATTGTCATTAATCTCCTCATTCCCAACCCACCTTTTATCTATCCCCAGATGTTTGAAGTCCAAACATACTGAAAAAGTTAGTGCTGGCCTGTTTCAAGGTGTGAACCATAAAAGACACATCTTGTCGATGTTTATCAATTTATCCTTTGTAAGAAGCTTAAATTGCACAGCCAACCACAGCATGAAGGAGTGTTTTAGAGTGATGTATAGTGTTTTAGAGTGATGTATAGTCTCCAAATCTCCCCGTCCAAGTCCTTTTCTCACCCTTTCAGCCTAAAAAATTGATATGACTATCTATGGAAAATCGAACAGAAGCTGTCTAGTTAGAAAGCCTATCAATAGCAGCGTGGTCAGTGAGTTTCAGCCCTATAATCTGATTTCGAATGTCCAATAGCTTCTTGATCAAAGGAGAGTGATCTTTCCTTGCCATACATTCCCAAATACTAGCCCCACGGAGATAAATTTGATTAGTCCATTTAATTCATAGCATCTTTCTTACTATGGATATTCCAATGTGATTTTGAAAGAAGTGCTGAATTCCAGCATTTTATGTCTCTAAAGCCAAGCCCACCCTCATGTTTTGGGAAGCAAACATTACTCCAAGCAACCAACGGTTTATTAGTACCCCAAAGGAAGTTAAGGCATCAGCTAGTGATCTTTGAAGCAACCGTGGCTGGGATTGGAAAGTTGGAGAGCCAAAAACATTCCACACCTTAAATAACGACTCTTTTAAGTTCTGCTCTACTTGCATAGGATAAAGATGCCTTAGACCAACCACATATGTAAGCTGTGATTTTGTTGAGCAAAGAGTCATAAGAGCTGATTTTTAACTTTCCCACGGCAAATGGGATTCTTAAGTACCGGAATGGCATGGAACCCTTGGACATATTGGTTAATTCATAGATCTCCTCGAGCTTTTGCCCATGAATCTGAGCCGTATACAAGCTAGACTTGTTAACATATATCCTTAATCCCAACATGTATCCAAACTTAGACAAGCACTCCATCAAGATTCCAACCGAAATTGGATCTCCTTTAGCAAAAAGCATCAAATCATTCGTAAAAGCCAAGTGTGTAATCTTTAAAGGACCACATTTGGGGTGATAGTTGAACTCACTATTCTCAGTAGCTCCCTTCAACATTACTGAGAAATACTCGAGGCAAATGACAAACAAAATGGAGAGAGAGGATCACCTTGACGAAGACCCATTTGTTCCTTTACGGAATCTATGAAGACTACCCTTAAGTGCAATTGAATGTGATGGAGTAGAAATATATTCCATCACCCAACCTATGAATTTCGTAGGAAAGCCAAATCCATGAAGCATGCCCTTGAAAAAGTCCCAATTGAGCGAATCATTTGCCTTCTTAAGATCAATTTTGAGAAGGCATCTTGGAGCAACTCTCTTACGATTGTATTGCCTCAAAAGCTCTTGAGCAACATGGATATTTTCCGTCATACTCCTACCTTTCACAAACGCACTTTGAGCTTGATCCACAATGGACCCAAGGATAGGCCACAATCGAGAAGCAAGGATTTTTGTGATTACTTTGTAGAACTTATTATAACATGCGATCTGTGTATACTCACCGACAGATGTAGAGTGATTTGCCTTGGGCACCAAAGCAATGACCGTATGATTCGTTTGCTTGAGAAGAGAAGTAGAAACAAAGAATTCTTCAATTGCCGCCAAGAATTCATCACGAACAATATCCCAAAACTTCTTGAAGAAACCAGATGTATATCCATTCGGTCCCGGAGACTTATCATCACCAATATTAAAGAAAGCATCTTTAATTTCTTGCCTGGAAACATCCTGGTCAAGTAGCTTAGCATTCTCCATAGATAACACTGGTCCAAGAGTAAAAAAATCAACATCAATAGGCTCCATCAAGCTGTCTTTTCCCAGCAGTTCACTATAAAAGTGAGTGAATTCATCCGCCACCTCTTTTTGGGAAATAGTATATGAACCATTCCTTTTAAGTACAGCTGCAATGTAATTCCTTTTAGTATTTCTTTTGACAACCGAGTGGAAGAACTTGGTACACTTGTCACTATTCTTAAGATAAACACACTTTGCTTGTTGATAATAGAAACTCCTCTCCGCTTCACAAAAATTAACAGCTTCTTTTATCCAATGAGAAACACCACTTTGTAGTTGAGTGTTGGTGGGATCATTCTGTAGTTCCAATTGTGCCAATTTCAACATTCTAGTAGCATTTTCGACCTTTGAGGAGATATGTATGAAATGCTTGTCATTGAGCTTTCTTAAGAACCTTTGAGCTTTTGTAACTTTTTACATAGTATGAATTGCTTCATACCACGAATTTCATAGCTCCAACAATCTAGTACTAACTCATGAAAATTTTCACGTTTAGTCCACATATTGAAGAACCTAAACGGTTTACTCTTACTCCCATCATGCTCAAAAAGTGAAATAATGCAAGGTGAGTGATCAGAAAGGCATCCCGATGGCAAAAAATCAGCA